CCATCGCCGACTCAAGGCCAATATCTGCCAGTCACGGTACTTCGCCGAGCTCACGCGGACATATCCCTCATTGGCCAGTACTCCATGTGGCTGCCATTTTATCACATAAAAGTGAGGTGGGCACCAGACTGACGTATTGATGTCCTTGATAAGGATAGCTTGGTTTGCATTGCAACATTGTAAGAATAAATAGAAGAGAGGATTTAGTTTTATTTAAATTGAATAGGAGCGAACAGCGTTTGGTTTTATTCACGATGCTGTATCAAAAACAACTAACGTGTATTGAAAACGCACTCAAGGTGGTGATAAGGACTCTACTAGTCCTCGCAGTTTGTGCTATGAATGCAAAAGTTGTTAAGTTCTTGCCTTCGCGAACAGGCTGTTCGGAACAACTAATTGCATCTAGGTAATAAGTTGACAAGATATTACGCGTTAGTTACCGCATCAGTGATGCTGTGATGCCATCACATCGCAAAGTTGCCGCGGACTTCACCCGAACATTAGTATTTTTGCATGAGGGCAAAAATAAAAACTTGCAAGCTGAAAAAGTCAGGTTTGAACGTTTTTGTTTGCTTCGCAAATGAGAAATAGTCCTACCCAAATTCCCGAAATGGCACGCAGCGACAACTGGAGCTGCCCAATTTGTCTGGGCAGATTCGTGCGTCCCGTGCTCGTCTCCTGCTGCGGCCAGAGCTTCTGTCGCTCGTGCTTAGACGATGCACTGCGTCAGGCGGATGCCTGTCCAATGTGCCGCTCCCCGCTGCTCTCGGGACCATTTTCCGTGACTTCGAATCGAGCACTTGAAGATGCTCTGACCGCGTTGGATTCTTCCTCTCCACGACGATCTACAACCGAGAAACGAGCTACTACAAGCTTTGTTGATGCTGCGGAGAGGAAACTGACGGCTCAAATGCAAGTATCGGTGATAGCCACGGAAGAATTCGAAAGCAATGAAGTACCAGACGAGGAAGAGCAACACAGTCGGCTCCGAGCAGGTTATATATGGGTGAGATTGTGCAGGTGAGGTTTAAGACAATATTGAAGCATGGAAACAGCTTAAAGGTGTTTAAATTGCAGGATACACAGCATTCAAAGCTGTCAAGCTGGAAGGCGGTGTGTGAGCTCACAATCAGCGGAGCTTCGACGAAGACTGCGGCAATGGGAACTGTGGTGCAGAGTGAATTGGGCATCGTTGCAGTGCGTATTTTACGTTGCGCTCTTCTTTGTGTTTGTATCTTTCCTTCGCGTTCAAGAGGAAGAGTTTGCAGGTTCAAAGCAACGCTTACGTCGCCCCAACTAACTGCGGGTTAGTAACTCAATTAACAAGTACCGGTAATACAAATATTAGTGCTTACTTGCTGTTCTTAGCGCGAACTTCGTCCGCAAGTTTCTTGAGATGCTCCAGTATATCACCGCCCGCAACTCGAATGCTAACCCACTCTTCCATGCGTGTGCCTCCAATACGCTCGTAGAACTTGAGTGCTCCTTCGTTCCAGCGCAGACACGACCACTCGAGTCGCCCTTCCCCTTCGCTGATACGTTGAGTTTCTTCAGCCAACGCACCGAACAAGAGCGTTGCTAGCCCTCGACGGCGGAATTCCGGGCGTACGTACAGATCTTCAAGGTACACGCCAGGTGACGCCAGCCACGTGCTGTAGCTGTAGAAAAACAACGCCATACCAGCGACCTGCTCACCGACTGTAAGCACAAAGCAGTGAGCCACTTTGCGACTCGGAGCACCCATCAATGGGAAACCGGAAATGCGTTCGGGTGGAGCGTCGTCCGCGAAGTTGACGGTCTCCAGAATTTTTTCCGGTGTGGCTTTGTTCGAGTCCGACTCCTTCTCGAAATTCGCCAGCTCTTGGATCATAGCAGCGATTTCGTGGACGTCGCCACGTACGGCACGACGGATCTGCGTTTCCATTTTGCAATGATGCTGTGATGAAGGTCAATATGGATATGACAAGCTATTAACAGTAATAATTAAGTGATGAGTGTTCAAGGTACTGTATTTCATCGTTTATGGTTGTGCAATTCGTTAGCCCCAGAATTTGAAATTTAGAACTCGTACTCGCATTCTAAAATGGGGTCAGAACTGGGTGCTACCTGTTTGGTACCGGTATACTTAATGGTGACGACCTTCTTCTCGACCGCAGCAATGCGAGCGGCCTCTGCGATAATAGTGTTCATTCGCGACGCTCCCCAGTGTACGCGCGGGTTGGCGTTGCCCTGAATGACGTCGATGAAGCTGCCGAGTTCGAGCTGATAAGCCTCACGGAATCGCTCCGGGAACGAGTGCAGCAATGTATCAGCAGTAATGCCAGCCTTTGTGGACTGCATCATGGCTGTCTTGCTCGGATTTTGCACCTGTAGCATGCCGTTTTCGCCAGCTACTTCAATGCGTTGGTCGTAGCCATATTCAGCACTACGACTTAAGTCCATGGTGCAAACCACACCGGTGGTAGGGAACTCAAGCCAGACACTGGCTTTATCCATGACGTTGAGCTCTCTCAGCTCGGCTGATAGGCTAGTTCCATGTGCATACACCTTGGTAGGATATTCGCCTACGAGATTGCACACGTAGTCGATGTCGTGCACGGCGAGATCATGGAACGGGTCACCTCCGGTCTTGAGGAACTCGACTGGAGGACACGGGTGGTCCCGGAATACTGTATGGATCGATTGTAGCTTGCCAATGCTCTGCTTATCCACGCATTGGACGCGCAGCGCCTCGTAGCTGGGGTCGAATCTACGCTGAAAGGAACAGAAGAGCTTCACGTCGTTCTTGTGACACGTTTGGTATGCTGTGTCGATCTCATTTACCAAAGCGGCAACCGGTTTTTCAATGCCAATGGCCTTGACTTTTGTGCCCAAAACCCCGGTGGCGCAGTCGTTCACGAGCTCTAAGTGCGTGTGGGTAGGCGTGGAGATCCAGATGCCGTCGACAGTTTCGTTTCGCTGCTGCAGAGCGTGCTTAGCATCCGCGAGAGTTGTAAAACACTCGGCTCCGTATTGGCTACTCAATTCTTGAAGTTGCTCGGCACTGGCATTGGAATCGATGATCGCAGCGATGGAGACGCGTGGGTCGTTCTGCATTCCAGTCAAGCGGATACGTCCCATGCGCCCGGTGCCTACGACCGCCAAATTGACGCGACTGGAGCTGGACGCGAAGGTTCGAAGACTCGTGGTGAGCGCTGAGGCGCGTCGTAGGCAGCGAGACGCGCGCGAGAACAGCATGACAACTTTGAAGACAATGCAGGAATGACACGGATCCTTTGACACTGTTTCGAGCTGAAGCGAGAAGGATATCGGTACTACCGGTATCTAAGTGGAAATGCAAAGGTTTTGACACTTCACTCACATCATGACATGATGTGAGTGAATTGTGTGCACGTGTACAGTTTTTAGCTCAAATATAGTATCTAGTGACGTGTGGGGTCAAAGGAGCTAACTTCTTTAAAAAAAGTTTTGCGTCACGCTATCGCTGTGCAGTGCACAGTGTGCACTTTGCTGCGCAGCTTACCGGTATTTAAAGCATCAACTTTTATTGCAGCCGGTTATTCTGCTGCCCTGTTCAAACCGATTCCATGTCAAGAATATCGTCTTTATCTCCCCTCGTCCACTCGTTAAGTTCGCATTTATGATGACAAAGTGCGTGTCTTTACTTTCGGAAAGTTTTGCTGGCAACCCCAGGTTCAGTCCCAGATTTGCCGCCCGCTGTCCGAAGTCAAGCGTCGATGAGTCATTTCCGGACCTTGTTGAAGCCCTCGCGGCCATGGCTAGCCGCTGCCGTGGTACCCGCTGCATTGGGAGCCTCGTATTTGTCCCAGCAGGAGCCCACGCGCTGCAAGGGCGCCATCCCTACGTCCGAGTTCTTGTATCAGCCCCTGTCCGAAGATAAGGCCCCCAAGAGCAGCATCGAGTTCGACACCAAGGCACCGCTACCTAAGCGCATGGAAGCGCTCATCATGCGCGTGCAGGACGAAATCTGTGCGGGTATTGAGGCCGTGGACGGCAAAAAGTTCCGTGAGGACAAATGGGAACGTGAAGGACATGGCGGAGGCGGTCGCAGTCGCATCCTGCAAGATGGCAACGTCTTTGAGAAAGCTGGCGTGGGTGTATCCATCATCCACGGCAAGCTGCCACCTGCCGCTGTGAAGCAGATGACGGCTAGAGGCAAAGACCTCAAGGAGGGCGCCGAGTTGCCATTCTACGCTTGTGGAGTGAGTCTCGTGATGCATCCGCACAACCCCATGGCCCCTACGATCCACCTCAATTACCGGTATTTCGAGGTAGAAACCGGCTACCTTGATAAGGATGGTAACCCCAAGAAGATTGGCTGGTTCGGCGGTGGTGCCGACTTGACTCCCAGTTACCTCTTCGAAGAGGATGCTCGTCACTTCCACGCTGTGTACAAGACGCAGCTGGATAAGCGTGACTCCGCTATTTACCCTAAGTGGAAGAAAGCGTGTGATGAGTACTTCTACATCCCCCACCGTCAGGAAGGCCGTGGTATCGGCGGTTTCTTTTTCGATGACCTCATGGACAGTTCCGAAGAGAACTTCCAGATGATCCGCAGCTGCGCCAACTCCATGTTGGACGCCTATGTGCCGATCCTGAAGAAGCGCAAGGACATGCCATTCACTAAGCAGCAGAAGGAGTGGCAGCAGATGCGTCGTGGTCGTTATGTTGAGTTCAACATCATGTACGACCGCGGCACTAAATTCGGACTCCTGACCCCTGGTTCGCGTGTGGAATCGATCCTCATGTCGTTGCCGCTGACGGCTCGTTGGGAGTACATGCACAAGCCTGCCGCTGGCTCGTGGGAGGAGAAGACTCTCAAGGTGTTGAAGAACCCAGTGGACTGGCTCAATGTGCCTGCCGTCGACCTAGAGACGCTCTCGACGGGCGAGCTGCTCAAGGAGCTTGCGAGAAGGAGCGAATAAGTTGGTATGGGCAACGAAAAAAACAAAAAGCGCTCGATTCAGATCTGCATGTACGAAAATACAAAGCCCAAAATTCGAAAGTTACGAAAATTACAGATAGCGCGAGCCGAATCTAAGCATTCGTCTGCTTGCGTTCTCTCTCGTACTCAGTGTAGTTGCCGTCGAAGAACTGGACGCGGCCCTCGCCCTCGAACGCGATAATGTGCGAGCAGATGCGGTCCAGGAACCATCGGTCGTGCGAAATGACCATCGACACGCCGTCAAAGTCCGTGAGAGCGGCTTCCAGCGAGCGCAGCGTGTCCACGTCGAGATCGTTCGTCGGCTCATCCAGCATCACAACGTTGTGGCCGCCCAGCAGCATCTTGGCCAGATGAACGCGGTTGCGCTCGCCTCCACTGAGACTACCGACCTTCTTCTCCTGCATGCCGCCGCGCAGATTGAAGCTGGCAATGTACGCGCGTGTGTTGATGCGGTCTCCGCCGATCTCCACGAACTCGTTGTCGCCCGAAATCTCCTCGTACACGGAACGTCTGCCGCTCAGTTCGTCGCGACTCTGGCTCACAAAGCCCAGACTCACAGTCTTCCCGAGCTCGACACTCCCTTGATCGGGTGTCTCGATGCCAGCAATGATGTTAAACAGGGTACTCTTCCCCATCCCATTGCCGCCTACAATGCCCACGATAGCGTGCGGTGGGATCTCAAACGAGAGCTTCTCGAACAACACACGCCCGTCGTCGAGCTGTTTGCGCAGGTTCTTGACCTTGATGACCTTGTTGCCTAGACGCACACCCGAGGGCACGACGATCTGACCTTCCTCCACTCTCGACGAGGCCTTGAAGCCGCTGGACTCCATCTCTTGGAGCTTCCGCAGACGCGCCTTGTTGGCCTTCTTGCTGCCTTGATGGTCACGAGACCAGGCGATCTCGGACGCGATCTGCTTTGCACGAATCGCGTCGCTCTTCCGCTGCATGTTGAAGCGATTGCGACGCTGACTCAGCCACTCGGTGTAGTTGCCTTCGTACGCGTACGTCTCGCCTCGATCGAGCTCCAGCACCCACCCAGCCACATTGTCCAGGAAATACCGGTCGTGCGTGATGGACAGCACTGTGCCGCGGTATTTCTGCAGGAAATCCTCCAGCCAGTGCACGGACTCGGCGTCCAAGTGGTTCGTGGGCTCATCAAGCAGCAGCATGTCTGGCTTCTCGAGTAGCAGTCGGCACAGCGCCACACGACGTCGCTCCCCTCCCGACAGCACTTCCACGTCTGCATCCGCAGCAGGGACTCTCAATGCAGCCATGGCTTTCTCCACCTCGTGACTCAGATCCCAGCAGCCCAAGGTCTCGATCTGGTCCTGCAGCGTGGCTTGCTCTTCTAGCAACGCGTCGAAATCTGCGTCTGGCTCGCCCATAGCCATGGAAACCTCGTCGAACTTGGCCAATAGTGTCTGACTCTCCTTCAGTCCATCCATTATGTTCTCGTACACATTCTTGCTCGGATCTAGCTGCGGCTCTTGTGGCAAGTAGCCGACTTTCAGTCCGTCCTTGACCCAGCGCTCGCCGTCGAAGTCGTTGCGTACACCAGCGACGATCTTTAGCAACGTGGACTTGCCACTACCATTGGCGCCAAGCACACCGATCTTGGCGCCACGTAAAAAGCCCAAACTAACGCGCTCGAACAACTTTTTACCACCCGGAATTGTCATCCCCACGCCGCGCAAGTGACAGACAAAGTCGCCGGGCACGCCGCCGCCTGCGTTTGACGCAGCTGCAAAACCGCGTGCAGCATTAAAAGGATGTTGAGCTGCTATGAGCCAATTTTGAGCCAGCGTAGAGGTACGCAGGCTGCGCGAAGCCAGCGAATGCGAAGCGACACGGCGAGACAGCATTTCTGACAGGAAGCGATGGCTCTGACTGCAACACTGGTGCAACATTTAGGCAACATCATTGATTGAGCCGGTAATTCAAGTTTTCGGTCTGTTAAATTGACGTTAAAATAGCTTCAAACTGGGCCAGGCTTCAGTCGAAGCCATGTAAAAATGAAGCTTAAGGCTCTAGCTCCACCTTCATCCAATCCACGGGATGCTTCAGCACCTCGTATGTCTTGCCCTCCCATGAATCTTCTTTGGGCGAGTGCATGTACTCCCAGCGGGCTGTCAAAGGAAGCGACATCATGATCGACTCCACTCGCGAACCAGGGGTCAGCAACCCGAATTTAGTGCCGCGGTCGTACATGATGTTAAATTCGACATACCGACCACGACGGATCTGTTGCCATTCTTTTTGCTCCTCGGTATACGGCATGTCCTTACGGAGCTTCAGAATGGGAATGTAGGCATCCAGCATTGAGTTGGCACAGTTTCGGATACACTGGAACGTCTCCTCAGACGTTTCCGTGAGATCGTCGAAGAAGAAGCCACCGATGCCACGGTGCTCTTTGCGGTGAGCAATGTAAAAGTATTCGTCGCAGGCTCTCTTCATCTTCGAATACCAAGTGGGGTCGCGCTTGTCGAGCTGCGTCTTGTAGACTGCGTGGAAGTGACGGGCGTCTTCCTCGAACAGAAAGCTCGGAGTTAGGTCGGCACCTCCTCCGAACCAACCAATCTTCTTGGGTTTGCCCTGTTCGTCTTTGCCAACTTCGATCTCAAAGTATCGGTAGTTAAGGTGGATCGTTGGCGCCATGGGGTTGCGCGGGTGCATGACTAGGCTGATGCCACAGACGTAGAAGGGTAGATCCTTTCCAGGAGGAAGCTCGGCGTTGCGCTGCGTCATTTGCTGCGCAGCAGAAGCAGGTAGAGTGCCATTGATAATAGAAACGGCTACACCTGCCTTCTCCATGACGTTTCCGTCTTGTAAGATGCGGCTACGGCCACCACCTCCGCCCTCGCGCTCCCATTTATCGGTACGGATCTGTTCCCCATCGACTGCCTCAATGCCGGCACAAATCTCGTCCTGAACACGCAGGATAGTGTGTTCCATGCGCTTAGGTAGGGGTGCTGACGTGTCGAATTCGATGCTGTCCATGGGCACCTTGTCTTCTGACAGCGGATGGTAAAGGAACTGGGACGTGGAGGCCATTTTACGGCGTTGAAAGAGCAACTATAAGGTCTTGCAGCTTGATCCGGAGGTGGGGAATGCGAGACTGCCGGAAGAACTTCTAGCTGTGCATTTCCTCGTGCAGATAGATGACGCATGTTGCTCACAAGACAAGCATTGAGGTGACACCAGAAACGGGCAAGATGATGTTATACCAAGTCACAGATCCGAACTTATTAATAGCAAGCGAACTTAGTGATATCTGGTTCACATAAGCGTTACTTCATCAAGACGCCGCCCATTATTCTGTACAGAAGGAATTCTGGTGCACCATTTCCTCGATATAACATGTTGGCATGGGCTAATGTTCAAAGTCTACGCGGTGGCGGTGCCTGCGTTTGTCTGCGCAACAGCAGATCCCATCGCCACCCTACAAAAAAATGCAGACGTGCATTTGACAGGCGACACCCAGAAGTGTGACGCTCCTCGACTTAGTGACGCTCCCATAAAAACATTTAGCAGATGTGATAACTGCAACAAGTTAATTTTTTAAGCATATGCTCGCCGTCGACACCTCTGGCTCTGATGCAGCGAGATCTGCAGCGCGCACGTGAAGACAACTCGTATCTGCGCACACTGCTAAGGCAGATGAACTTAGACGACGTCAACGCGCGGCCACCGCAAAACCTCCGCTCCAATAGAAATGCAGACGACACCGAGGACTTTGACCGCGCCCTAGCGCGACGACAGGCACGTCTAGACGACGCTTTCAACAGCAGCGAAGCGTCATCCACGATTTTGGAGCTGAAAAGCGCAAACGACCGCATAACGCAGCTGGAACGCCAGCTTCTAGACGCAGAGGAGACTATCTGCCACCTCAGGGCTGAGAAGCTGGCAGCGTTGAGAGACGTCGAACGCCTCACCGCCGTGAATGCAGACGGAGAAGAACGGACGCCCAGCAAGACACACGGCACTGAGCAGCAGCGTAAAATTGTGCTGGAATTAGAAACGAGGTTGACTGAGCAGAAACAAGCTCATGCACTCGAACTAGAGCAGAGTATGGCTGTGATCCGTGAGCAGGAGCACGAGCTGAAGACATTCCGCTCTCAATTAGAAGAGAAGGCACAGCAATACAAGGAACTGCAACAAAGACACATGGATCTCCTGGAAATGGATGGCCAGGCGGCTGCAACGATGAAGCAGCGCGTAAATAGCGGCGTGAGTCAGTTTAGCATCTACGGAGAAGAGAGCGATGACGACGACGAATCCAAAATACCAAAGCCACAGAAAGACACGCCAGGACGAGCCAGAGCGCCTGCTGACGCCGATTCGGTCAACCCGAAGTGGCACGAAGAACTCGTGCGTCATCCCACGCCTCACTTTGACCTCGAGTCGCCAGAAGTGGCTTACATTCTTCGAGCGTGGACAAAGAACATTAAGAAGATGCGATACCTGCGTCGCTGGCTCATCCAGGTCGTTAAAACCAAAGGACCTTTACCGGAAGACTTCCCTATGGGCGTGGAGCTGCCTCGACTGCCTCCGGAGGTGCGTGGCGGCTTCCTCACGCTCGTTCTGCCACTGCTACGCCAACAAACCGAGCGAGAGATCCTCGCACACTCCCGTCTATACAACGACGGGGTGCATACCGACCTGCGTTTCCGGCTTGTGCCGCGTGAATAACTTAACGAAGAAACGGTAGTTAACTTTATCTGTTATGTCGCTATTTAACGCAGCTCCAGCTTACAGTATTCTCGTGTGATCTCGCCGATAACACTCGCTATTTGAGTCTGCAGGCGATCTACCTCTTCTTTTTTGGCCAAGTGGATGTGCTTCTCGCCGGTCTTTACGTGACTAGTGTTAATACCCTCCCAAGAGCGTTGTGACTGAAGAAACAGCTTCTGAGGGTCAATGAGCTCCCGAGTCTGCACGTCGTGAGTGAATCTCTCCACTTTCGTCTCCATCTGCTGGACTTTCGATCGAGATTTCTGTCGAGATGTCCATTTCTTCCATTCCTGTTTATAACCTTGCTCGATTTGTTGGAAGGCTTCAGCATGAGTCTTGAAGAGGGTTTGAACTTCTTGGATTTGAGTTCGTAGCGCCACGTTAAGAACATTTTCAGTTAAAGTGATTGGCTTTACTTGGGAGGCCGAATCACTGTTGTTATTGAGCGAGAGGACAAGACCGTTAATCCACTTGTAGAACTGGGCTTCGTCGTGTATCATCTGCACACTAACAGCCACGCAGCGTCAAAATAACTCCTAGAAAGTTACCACTTAACTGTTACGGACCTTTGTGTTAGCACTTGGACTTGTTTGGCCAGTTTTGCTGCTGGGCCAGCTAGAAGATCAAGTACGTAGGCTGGAATTTGTTCGTCTTGGTGCTCTTCAGACTTGTTTTGTAGCTTTTTAAGCCGCTCTAATAGTCGCTCGTGGTAGCGCGTGTAAGCTCCTAACTCGTTCAGATGGCCTTGTAAGCGACCAAAAGCGCTGTGTAACTGGTGCATCTGTCCCTCTAGAGATAAATTCTCGTTATAACGAGGTATTGCAGTAGAGACTACATCCATCGCAGCCTTTTGAATGCAGGTAGTATCGATATCCACGTCCTTCACAGCACACAAAGTTAGAGCAAACCCACTTAACTTAAATGGGTACAAATCTGACATTCGGGAACGGAGGTAAACGCAGTTGGTTTGCACCGATACAGCGCTGTTTCATTGGATATGGAAACGTTTAGTCAGTCGCTTGTGACGCTATTTGACACGAACTTGCACACCTCAAGAATATCGCGACGCTGCTTCTCAAAGAAGTTCGAAAACGCTACTAGCCACGTGACGGCAAGCAGTAACACTTCACTTGATGGCCGTGGTGTCTCAGAGTACAACATAACGCAAACAAAGCCCCACTCGTAAAGGTAAAACCGCACCAACTCCATCTGAATGTCTGTACAGAGGCGAAAGTCAGATATCAGCACTGTAGAAGGCAACAGAAGCTGACAGACCGTGCAGTTCAGAGTCAAGCAGCGCGATCTCAAGCGTCTCAGCGTTATTCATTTTCTCCATCTCTAGACTGTCCACTTCAAAGTCGGCCAGCACCACAAGCACCAAGTCATGGAGCAGTCTCCATAACACCCAGTATTCGCGCTGTTACATCATTTTCTGTCAATGATTTTAGAGGACAGGCACCGATCTTCGCAGCGGTTAGCATTCACCTCGGTCGTTTGCCCCTTTTTGGCCTTCCGTAGTAGATCTATTGACACGTAGTTCACACCGATCGACTCGAATCCGAAGCGCAGCAAGTAGCCGAACCGCGGGGCCGGCTTCTGCATTTGTGCGCAAACGAGTTTGACAGGGAAGTGTGGTGCACATCAGCAGCAAATATTTTTCGCGACACAGTACAGACCATTACATGTATTAATAACTACATGTAGTAGTGTACAGTACTGTATCTTGGGTTAGGCCAAGATGCAGTGACGACGACTGTACTCCAGACTGGACAGTAGTCTAGTGAAGAATGCTTTATGTCAGATTAGAGTGAGTCATGGACCATGACTCACTGCTTAACTGTCGACGCCAGAAGCTATAATAGTCGCCAGTGTAACGTGCCATAAACTTGCGCTAAGGCAGTCTGTGTACACACGCTTGTTCACTGAGAATGCTGCCTATATTCCATGAAATGAGCCTTCGACGGCAACGGCTTGATCTGATGCCAACGATTTGTAGGCGGCAAACGCAGCGTGGTGCAGCTGAGGACAGGCTTGAGGTTTATGTATCTCAAACACGGTACTTGTAGCATATCATTTTCGCTGATTTAACCTTGGAATTTGTAAGAAGCATTTGACATTTGAGCAACTCGGAAGATATTTTTCGACGCGTCTGTCGAAGAGTTGAATGGAGACTCCAACTTGGAGTCCAAGCCTCTGTTTTCCACTGTCCGCAGGATGCAATGCACCGTATACTTCCGAGGGCACGATACATTGCACTTTCGTCTCCACCCTCGCCTTACACTCTAGAGAATCGCTATCCTCAGAGAGCTTTCGATGTGGCATATTTCTCATGTCGCTGACTGTTCCACTTAGCAGGTCAAAACAAACGTCCCACTTCACGTAGCCCGTCCAACGCTCCCTGTTGTCTCTGCTGTCCACTCTCAAACTTGCGTCTTTGGTGTCACCACTCCCCCCCCCACACACACCCCAATGACTTCTATCCAGGATACTGTGAAGATCCCGACCGATTCGTCGGCCACCGCTATGACCCACAGTGTAAAGCCGCCCAGTCGCAGCTCCGCGCCATTGGTTACCACTCAAAAAGTAGCCGCCATCACTGTGAGAGCAGCCCACCGCGTCCGTCTCTGCTATCGCGACGAAGCCTATCGTCAGCGTACCGAAGAGCGCACTAAGAGCCTAATCTCGGACGCGTCATCACCCGTGAGCTCCAGCACTAGCTCATTGCTGGCTAAGAAGGCACTTAAGTATCGCAAAGTGTACGACCGCATGACAGACGTGGACGTGAACGACCCCAACTTCGACGTGTTCGAGTTTCTGGGTGTCGATTGGTGCAAATCCTCGTCCATCAAGACTTGAGGCGATGAAAAAACCAAACAATTTTTAGTAGTATAAAATTAAATCTTAATGTTAATTGACAGTACCAGTAAGACTTTCGCCGCCAAGAGGTTTATGGAAACAGTAGCGTATTACTTTAACTGAACCTGTGAGCGCTGCATAGAGATATCGAGCTGGTATTAATAGTCAAGCCGAGCTGATCCACAATGGTCGCCATTCTTGGGTAATTTGTTCGAAAAGCTATCTAGTACTATTTGTCAGCTTCATCCGGATTTTGTCGAGCTGTGGTTATAAAGAAAAATCCTAGTTCAGATGATCCTCGATACTGTTAAAGTGCAGTTTTGTGGAATTTTATGATGGTCTCTAGATGGGGAAAGCAAGTCAAGATGAACATCCTGTGCGTGCATCAATGAATAGTGCACCCTCTGGCAGTACAGTATTGAACAGGAGGACAGGCAGCTAGCATTAACCCAATTTAAACTGTCGACACTTTAAAATGTATTCTCCTTCAAAATACCTCTGACTCCTTTGTGTATGCTGCTGACACAAATCACAGAATTTGTTCGCCATTACAAGTAGAGCAATCTATGACGAATGACCTGAAAACAATGAAAGAGAGAGAGGAGAAAGCACATTGACTTCTAAATCAAACAGCTCTGGCAGGCTGCTGCTGTATTGACATCAAGACTTAAAAAAATTCGCTCGTCACAGATCAGTTCGTAGCAGCAATTCAAACGCTGCCCTTCACTTTCATTTCGCGCTGGGGTTTCCACACCCTAGTATATGTAGTTAAGCGGCCCCGTGAGACGCTTAATTCAGTGATTGCTGGTTTACCATGTCGCTCTGGTGAACCGAGTCACTGTGGAAGGCCGAGTCCCTCGATGCCGAGTCGAAACTGAAGCTGAGTCCTCCTCAACCAGAATTTTCGAAGTCTTCGCAGTCTTGCCGCCCTTGATCAGAGCAGTGTCCTCACTGCCACTATTCGGTTCGCTGGCAAACAACAAGTCGAGCTTGTGGCTGCCGGAAGGTCCCTTAGTAGTTTTCCCTTTGGTATCACCCTTAGCAAGTGGGGGGTCCTCGCTACCGCTGTCAGAGTCGCTATCAAACAGCCAAGAGAGGTCACCGCTACCAGGCTCCGAGTCATCCTCGGCAAAGGGGGCCTCGACAGCCTTACCCTTAGCTGAAAGAACGTCCGCTTTCTCCGACGAATTCTCAACCGGAGCCTTGGTGACCTTTCCCCCCTTTGGTCTGAACAGTGTCCTTGCTACCGCTGCTGGCAGAGTGACTCTCCGACTCGCTGTCGAACAACCCCGACAGGTCGTAACTACCACTACCCATGTTGCTCTTGAGCAGCTCAAACAGCCACGACAGGGGATCGCTTCCACTGTCGCCTAGCAGTGATGCTTGATCATCACTGCTCGACGTCGACTTTGACGAGTCCTTTGATAAAGGGAGAGAGACTTCCTCCATTGAAGAACCCGAAGACGACGCCACGCCGAACTTGCTGCCATCGCCACCGGCCAAATGTCCTCAATGAAGTCCATCACATGCGTAAGACGAGTGAAAATCCCGGCCTGCTGACCGCACTTGCTTCCCCAGCTCACGCATCCAATGAGGATGTTGTCATCCACGAGAAGCGGCCCTCCCGAGTCACCTTTGCACGTATCCTTGCCGTTGCCTGTTCCGGCGCATAGCATGCCCTCCGTGACACGGCCGACGTATTTCTTAAACTTGCCACACTCTGCGTTCGAGATGACAGGAAGCGTCAGCTGCTTCAGGATAGGACTTATGAAATCACTGGCCTCGGTCTCACCCCACCCTAGAACAGTACCCATCGTGCCGACCTTGTTGTCGGATCCGTCAGCGGCACACAGCTTCGCCGTCTTGCGCTTAATTGGCGTTTTCAGTTTAAGCAGGGCCACATCGTATAAGTGCTCCTTCTTCTTGTACAAAGGGTGAAGGAACCCCTCAATGACAGGTACCGAAATGGCTTCACCTGAGCCAGAACCAGCGCTGTTGTTCGTACCAAAAGTGACAATTATGTGCTCTGCGCTAAACCAAAGGCAATGTCCAGCTGTAAGAATATACTGGGGGGCGATGAGCGTGCCGGCGCAGAAGGTTTCCTCCAGGAAAGGAATGCGCAGATTAGCGAGAAACGGATATTGTCGATGTTTGCATCTGATCCACCCCAAATGCGGTTCTGCTCGTTCGCTGCCAAGCCGGTGCTCTCCTTGGTCTCGGTCGTCGTGGAGACGTCGGAAAATGAATAGCCATACGTGAACGTCGAAAGCGACACCACCGTTGCGGCGAATGCTCCAATCAGAGCGACGCGCATTCCTTCAGGACGACAAGTTTTGAGGTTATCTGCCTCTTGGTCTCTCGACAATGTGAATGTCCGGCGTGGTAAAAGACAAAGTGATCTGGCCTAGCATATCGTCAAACCGGAAGTTATGGCGCAGACAAGCGCGTGTAGTCCGTTTAGTGCAAGGCACTCGGTATTTTTGTGATGGAACAGCCCTACCCTAAACCCAGCACACTTTGCGTTTTGCAAAGCCGGAGTCGGTACCTACAACATGACGATTTCTCTGTTTTGTGTTGCTGGGTAAGTTAATGTAAGTTATCTTACGCTGGAAATCACAAAAGCGAAAATGTAATTTTAAAGTGTCTATTAAAAACGAGATTCAATAAGTACGAGCTGTACAATCCTGACATTTTCAAGAAGGGGGAAATTAGCAAGATGCCGAAGCAGCAAGCGTGCCGAGAAGCGCAGAGCACAGGTAAGACACGGGAGACAGAGTGACAGGCAGCCTGCAATCCGCTGTCCTAACCTACAACGCCTAACCTACAACGTTGTGTCCTATCGTGAATAGGGCGTTGTCAACGGGCAAGACCGCATGTCGACTATCTACTTGCTGGACGCGGATTTATACACGATTCCTGTAGCGACGAAGACTATGTCGATGACACTCTGGTTATAGGTGAGGACATCCCAAATAAAGATTCAGAAATGTAGAGCCTGGAGAATGAAGCCAAAGATGATGCGCGCAAGGTCGACACGTTACCGGGCGGGAAGGACACTGACATTGCGGCGGTAGAGAAGGACACGGGCGCTGTGGCGTGCGAGAAGGACAGCGCTTCCGGGGAGAAGGGCGCTGCGGCAGCGATAAGAACATCATTGCCGGTGAGAAGGATGTGGCTGCCAATGAGAAGGACGACGCCGCCGGTGAAAACGACACGGGTGTTGCAGCGGGCGAGAAGGATATCGCTGCGCGCGAGAAGGACGTGGCTGCGGGTGAGAAGTTCGTGGCTGCAGACACCAAAGCCACCGCCGCGGAGCCGGGTGATAACAACGCGTTGGCCGATACAGGTATATATCCCGGTCTATTTCTTTTTGTTGCTGATACGTTACTTATGTTGCTTACTATGTTGCTTTGAATGTTGCGTTCAACGGTTACAAAACTAAAGACTATGCACGTGCATTTGTTGAAGCCGCCCGGACCAATGCCATCCAAGAAAGTCGCAAACAGAAGCAACCGTCCGTTGCGTACAGTCGCAAATCCTGCCAGGGTGCCTCTGACGCGAGCGAAAGGGAAGACCCCTCACCAAAGCGACCAAAAACCTCGACGCAAAGAGCATGACCTCAACTGGGGCTCAGTTCACGACGTCGGCGAAGACCAAAATTGTACAAAAACGTACGACAGTCGTCCGAAGATGATGAAGATATTTCATGCAGTCGAAAACGTCAAACCACCACTTCCTGTGAGGACGTTTGACATTTAGAAGATTTTTTAAGAAGCCCTTCGCTCTTACGAGAATAAGAACTATGTGCACTATCGCGTTCGAAGCCCTGAAACTCGTGCCAAGCTTAACATGTCCGTATTCTGTTGGCACATGAGCAGCGTGCGTTGCTGCTAGCAATGCTGATTTTTGCTATGTTGTTTGCTTTAATACTTGAGTGTGTTGCTTATTGTGTTGCTTAATCAAGTCGCACTGGAGCAAAGATCATTCCTGAAAGATTTTCCCACAGTTATGAACGAATATGGTGCACTCATGGCGCAACACAGTCGGCTCGTGGTGATGGACAGCGTGATTGTGACTTGCGATACACGGGATGCATGGCAAGTATCTTGGCCTGTACTGTCAGAGTTGTTAAGAAAATAGCTGCTAAATTGAAGAGTTACAATGACGAAAATGATAGCTACTATTGTTTTGCCGTAAAAATATTACCATTAATAAGTTATCTGAGTGGGTTTCTACAGTATGAGGTGCCAAATCATACATGTTACATGTACGGCAGTAGCCGGCCGTAAGGACTGGCCGTAAGAACAACGCTGTGTTAATAAACGTTGTCGCTTGAGCCACAAAGATAGATAGTCTTAGATTGAACAGAAAAAAACTTATATGTGCTGATGACAATTACTTCTGTAAGCGAATTGAACTTGACCATTGTTTGCGTCGGGGGACCTCGTCGCCAATGGAATGCGTACGGTCGGTGCTGGCTGGATCATCATGGAGCCTTAATTGGCTTGATCACTGCGAGTCATTTTTCATAATGATGAATGAGCCTTTCTAAATGTGAATTTTGTGAATCAGCGTAGTGGTAACATTGACAATAACGGTAATCTATCAGACCCTGGACAATAGTTTACTGGGCTGTGTTGCTTTGACACATTTTATGCTTATCCTTGTGTCACAAGGGGCAGATGTGTTGTGGTAACGTCGTTCAAACAAAATCAGCGCGGAGGCATGAAGAAATTCTTCTTACCGTCTTTTCCAGTGCCGGTATCATTTTTTCCGTGCCCCTATTTTTAATGTGTTTTGTCGCCTTTTTTCAGTTTCACTATTAAGGGTACCGTTTAGACTACTAAGCACGAAATGATTTGTGTAAACCGTCTCTTCCAAGACTGAGGCTCCCAAACATTTTTTGTTACGGTTTAAAAGGAATTTTAATGTTAGACCTAAAAAACGCATCAGACCTAAAAAAAGCGCATCAGTACAGCTGACGTGAATAATCACTTAAGTACACGATTTTTAATACGCTCGGAATATGTCCGAAGCACGACTGACAAGCAAGCTATGCAGACCATACTGTCAAAGATATTACAAGCAAAAGTCTTCAAATTCCAAACAAAGGAGTAACTTATTTCGCACTTATAAAAAAAGAAGTTATTTCCGTTGGTTTGACTGCGTCGGATCGTGTCCTACCCCCCCCCCGCGCATTCTTGTAGCATATACGCTGATTTACAGCTTCACTTTTCCTATGTACTAGACACGAACGACGTAAAAAGCAAAATGGGTTACGAAATTTACGGTTAAGTTGATGACTGTCAGCTCTGAAGCGAGTAAGAATCTATTAGCATGCATAACAAAGCTACCATGCCTTTGCCGCAGTGCCATAATAATATCATAGTTAGTAGCGCTTCCTTTACATGACATTCACCACGGCTCCTCTGGTTCGTACTCTGAGCCCTCAGCACCGGCTGCGGTTCTGCCTGGCATGCTTCCTGGATCTGGATTCAGCGACGTTGTACAGCGTCGCAACTGGAGCTCCCATCAGAACAAATGTCAAGACCTCTGACACACCGACCGATGTCATGGCACTGGTGTCGACTGCCATCCGTGTAGAGTGTTCCGACACCAGGGATAGCAGTCTCGCGGTTCTTGCACCCGAAAATAGCTTTGTCAAGTGCGGTGCAGACCACGGTCCACACAGTCGGTTGACCAGCAATCCGTTCATCAGCATTTCTACGACGACATGAAGTACAAGTATGCAACATCTTCCAGTGCAGTGGAGGTGTAGCACAGCTTCTTGACCGCCCTGGTGCCCTCACGATAAGATTAAGTACAGAGCGCCGGTCCAATGAAGTATGGACAGATGTACTCGGCCATTCCGTAAGGTGATATTACTGAGGGTGTCGTGCAGTATACCATGGAAGGCGATGGTTTTTCTTGATCAAGCAAGTATCGCCCATCGTTTGACTGGACGATGAACGCTATTGACAATGCCATGAACTCACTGAAGGCCGTTTTCAAGTACATTACTCTGGATACCTTCGTCGTCTATATGCGTTTATCACTCGAATAGTGTTAGGCTAGTCGCTCTACGCGTTGACGAGCTGGTACTCGTGACAATTCGGGCTGAGAGCGTGATCCCAGCACTTAGCAAGCTGGTGAAGCTGGGATTTAGCAAGGCAGTGGCGCGTGTACGAATCCACAAAGTAATAGGCACAAGGCTGCATGCTTGACGTCGGTCTTCACGACATCAAAATCCGCCAAATCAAGATGTACCCGAGTATCCTTGCAGACGGAGGCAGATCCGACGCTAATCGGATATTTGACAAACAAGAAAATTACGATTGCAGCGATATCTGATGCTACGTCGGACGTGAGTGCGGTCTCGTCATGCTGACCGATCATGTGTCATACCAAGATCCTCGAACCGGCAAGTCTTTGCCAACTCTGCGAGAGCCTGGAGCTGTGCCACAGGCGGTCAGCCGATGTTCCAATCAACGTTTTCAGCATCGCATGGGTTCGCGCTCTCTGTCCGAATTTGCTAGGCTTTTGTCCGTCTTTGACGCGATTTTCATTGATTTAACGTGTTTGTAAACGAAACGAAGTTTGCATTTACGTAAATTTGTCTAAATGGCTATCGCATCTACTTGTTTTGATATGTCATTGATAGAGCTGTGCGGTCCGAACGCGTTAACCGATCACGGCGGGGTATTGTTCTTTTAGCCTCCGCAGATGATCGGTAGCAGACAGCCTGTCCATATGACCATTCAACTGAGTTCTCTGTGGTGTAGTAGAACACACAAATATCGTCAGATGTGGATTCCTTACACAAACCACAACGAATCGCCGAGTTAGGTCGGCGGTTTGTATGGCCTGCGCAGAGGGTGGTCCCCTCGCGGTCCGGCCCTTCCGGGACAGACGAGTGGCTCGTTTCCACTCGGTTCCGA